CCACCTCAAAGGGAGCGAGAACCTGGAAAGTCCTTCCTCAGGGGATTAGTCCAACTCTCTCTTTATACAGATGGAGAACTGAGGCCCCAAGAGAGGCAGGACTTCTCCAGGACACACTACAGTGTTACGGATGAGCCAAGAGGCACCGAGTTACCTGGGTGAGGTGGGTAGCTGGAGATGGGAGTTGGTGCCAAGTGGGAACGGAGAGGTAGGGCAGCTGGAGGCAGCGGGGCTGGGCTCTTTTCTGTGTCCTGAGCGGCCCATGCCCCTGCTAACGCCTCGTCATCTTCTCTGGGGCAGTTCTCCACCCTGGTGCTCTCTGTGACCTGGGGGTGATTCTGCCCCTCTCGGGGCCTCCGTTTCCCCATCTGCCCCTATGAAGTTGGGCTGGATCGTTCTTTCAGCAAACATTTACTGTAGCAAGCCCCTGTTTGTCAGGCCGTAGGCTGGGCTCGGGGGATGCACTGATGAACAGGGTCCCCAGTGAGGTGGGGCTTTAAGAGGCAAAGGCTGGGGATCCTTCGTGGTGTGGGAGACATACCCCCTCAGACCAGAGAGAACGTGTCAGACCCAGACTGGCAGGGCCCTGATTTCCCCTGGTTTGCTGGCAGGCAGCATTCTCTTTTCCTAGGACCCGCTGTCCTGTATTTGTTGCCCACTGAGGAGCTAGGGCCCCAGGCCACACCCAAGAGCATGTGCCAGCTCCCAGGAGGCCTATGGGAGGAGAGGACATCCTAGCAGTCGTGGTCAGCCTCCTTGGCAGGTCCCGGTTGGAGGATCTGCGGTGAGCGGCCAGCCCGGCTCCCCTCCCCCACTGCAGGCCCTCACTCGGAGCTCTGACTCCGTTCCTTGGCAACATTCTGAGGAATCCAGTGGCTGGCTGCACTCTGGCTCCCTTCCTTTCTCCTCCCACTCTGCCTGCAGGGGGGCCGGGAGGCGGAGGCAGAGGCAGCGATCTTCATTATAAAAAGCGAGAGCTCGGGCAGAGCTCAGGCAGCAGGCGAGGGGATAGCACGGAGCTTGGATGCTCGCCCTGGCCGCCTTCCCCGGCCTTCCCTCGATCCCCACCTGGACTCCCGCCCGCCCTCAGCCATGGCCCCTCCACCTCTCTCCTGGCTGCTCCGCTTGGCCGTCCTCTGCCATCTGACCATGCTGCTGGCGGGTGAGTGCGGTGGATGTGCGTATGAGCAGGGTGGGGGAGCCCCCAGCCCCACTTCTGCCCCTGGGGCCTGACATCAGGGCCCCAGACCCTGCCTGGGTTTGTGGAACCCACTCCTGAGTCATGTGCCTGGGTGGGGGGAATGCGGAGCTGCCCCTCCCGCAGGAAAGATCCCTCAGCTCCCAAACTGCCCCTACCTGGGCCAGTGAGCAAGGCAGCTACTGCACAGGGATGGCAGGTAGGCCAGGAAGGCTGCTCCTCCTCCGGAGCAGCCAGAGGAGGCTCCTTGTGGGCACCAGGGTAGGAGCCCTGACTCAAGGTGGACTGGTCCTCCCTACCCAGGGTTAATATGTAACCTGAGTCTCAGCCTAGCCCTGGGCTAGGAGGACACAGTTGGGACTTTCTCCTGCCCAGCTTTCAAGGCCACCCCAGGCGTAGAGGGCCCAAGACCAGTGGAGGTCAAGGGCAATTTTGCTCTGGTCTTTAGACCGAATCCCTCTGCTTGTGTCTTCCTCCTTCAAGCATCGCTTACACATGTTTGCATCTTCAGTCACTTGTTTCCTGGAGCCAGGGACATGGTGGGGCATGATGTATCCATCCCAGTGGCCATGAGTAAGATGAAGGGAGGCCCAAAGAGGTTAGAACCTGGCCTGAGGATGCACCACCAGCAAGCAGGGCAGGAGAGGGTGGGCT